AGTCGGTAAAGGTAAATGTATCACCTTTCTCTATCAAATAGCACTGAAAGGTGATAAATTTTACCTTTATCTTTGATCATTGGATTGTGAATAGATAATAGTTATTTGTTCTACTAGGCAGAAAAGCAGAAGATGGAGTCAATAAAATAAAAAAATAAATACAGTTCAGTCACAAAACAACTACATAATGCAGTTTAAAAAGCTGCAAATTCTGTACAGTGTGGCACATTTTCGATGTTTTAATAGGCTATATTGAAAACCAGCAGAGATATCAAAAATCTGGGAGCACATTCTCGAGCTCTTTTTTTGAGAAAATAACAATGGCGAAGACAAATCACGGCTAACTTGATGGGTTTAGGAAATACAGGGCACTTTTCAAATTTTGCACAATAGGCTCGTACAGCATATTTTTTTAATTACATATTCTAAAAGAGCGTATTGAGTTTAGCAGTTGTGCAAAATTTCATAATTTTCTGAGCCCTTGTTCATATTTAAATAAATTATTAAAACGATCCAAATTTGAAAGTTTTGAAACACACGGTGACGTCACTGCATCTCTTACGTTGGTCGTGTGACGGCCTTTAGCCCGTCTTGACTCGAGAGATGACGTCATAGCATCTCTCAGCGATGAATTTTTGAGGCATAATGTTTTAATATTCAAAGCCGCATAACTTTTTTAATATTTATCCAATTGAGCTGAATTTTTTTTTATGTACTATACCGGGTGATTCTCAGATGACGCTCGTCCCTGTATTTTTTTTATTTTTTAAGATTTTCATCGCATATTTTGGTAGAAGGTATAAGTCATTGGTGTGCATTGTTTCACATATTAAGTACCTTTCTGATACTTCCAGTTCCACCGGAAACGACCCCAACTTTGAAATTTTAAATGGAACACCCAGTATATTTTTAGATATTTGAATTCGCCATTTGATTCTAAATATGAAAATGTATATCGATATAATTTTTTGACATTTCTGAAACCGAAATTACCAATTCGCACTTTTCATCTAGCGTGCCATGAGTGATATTAATTGGTAGGTTTTGTACCCAAATAACTGTTAAAATTATTATTTATTTTTATTATTGGAAAATGCAACTTCTACAGCCATTTGAAATTTTCAAATGCGTAAAAGTTGATTTTTTCTTATGGAAAGGGTAGTCGCTCACGGAATCAACTAAACAACTTTTTTCCGACTAATAGATTGATACTACACAATAATATTTCCTTTCATTTTAAACTTCTGCTAGATTGCTTAACTTTGAAAATACCCTCGTAAAACAAGTAAATCACCTGAAATAATGTTGAATGATAACCACCTTTTATTAGAAATTTGACATATCCAATTTGACACAAAAAATAAGGCAAAAATACACTAAAACGGTGTTTACACTAGATGCAATGCGATTTCAAAAATGGCATGCAGTCGGCTGCACATGCAACTTATGCCTTCTATCGTTTACATAGGATGCAATTAAATTGCATGCAGTCATTTGTATGGCGGGTTGTGCCAACTTAAAGAAAATGACATATAACAGCTGATTTGCTTTATATTTTTATATTGTGTTTTTATTTTTGGATTTTGCAAATTAGCGCAAGTTCTAATTCCATGCTATGCAATGAAATTGCATCAGCTTATCGAAAAAGAACAAAGTGCGCCTGCCTTCAGGCAGGAAATTATTGCATTGCATGAGATTGCATTGCATGTAGTGTAAACAGGCTTTAATACACACTGAAATTTGTAAAACGACTAAATTTGTGAAACGACTCTCATCAGAGTACAATATTTGGGATGGAAATCTGTTATTTTCTCTGTACTTTTGTAAATACCAGTTGCAATATTCAAGGCGTCGATCATAATCAGTTGGATACAAGTGCTGATGTAGCGGGTATTTGAATAACTTGAATTTTTGTTTATTGAGAATTCTCCATACTGAAGCCTGACTTATGTCGCATTCTGCAGCGATTTCCCTCGTTGAAGCTACCCTATTTACAGCAACCATATCCAACACATCAACTTCCTTTTCCTCATTTGAAACGAATGGTCCGTTAACGTTATTTGATTCAGTCCTCATGATTTCTATCAATCTGGGAAAATAATGTCGACTTGGGCGGCGACGATTTGGATATTTCGCAGCGTATGCGCGAGCTGCGTGTGTCGCAATCTGCCTGCACCCACCGAATACTAAAATCATGTCAATCTTTTCGCTGCGTGTGAAATTCATAATTATTTCTCTTTCAGAGAAAAAAAAAACGCTTGAATACGAAATTAGTCTGACAACTTGTGTCAAATTTCTAATAAAAGAAGGTGCTTAACGTCATTTAAGGTAATCAACTTGTATTACGAGGGTGATTTCAAAGATTTTATTCCAAAAAATTAAAGTTAACAATCTAGCAGAAGTTTAACATGAAAGGAGACATTATTGTATAGTATCAATCTATTAGTCGGAAAAAAGTTGTTTAGTTGATTCGGTGAGCCACTACCCTTTCGATAAGAAAAATTCAACTTTTACGCATTTGAAAATTTCAAATGGCTGTAGAAGTTGCATTTTGCAATAATAAAAATAAATAATAATTTTAACACTTATTTGGGTACAAAACCTACCAATTAATGTCACTCATGGCACGCTAGATGAAAAGTGCGAATTGGTAATTTCGGTTTCAGAAATGTCAAAAAATTATATTGATATACATTTTCATATTAAGAATAAAGAGGCGAATTTAAATATCTAAAAATATACTGGGTGTTCCATTTAAAATTTGAAAGTCAGGGTCGTTTCCAGAGAAACCGGAAGTATCAGAAAGGTACTTATTATGTGAAACAATGCACACCAATGACTTATACCTTCTACCAAAATATGAGATGAAAATCTTGAAAAATAAAAAAGTAACAGGGACGAGCGTCATCTGAGAATCACCCGGTATGTGAGTAATACTCCATAAAAATATCAAAAAACGTGGTTAATGAAACTTCACTGAACGAGTCTATTGTAGAAGACCTTCTAATTCCTTTATTAATCAAGATATCCAAAAACAAGGAGAATCCAGTGGCATGGCCAATTTTTCTCTAGATGCCTCCGATTTTGGAATATTGACCAAAGTTGTGTTTTTTAAATGGGACACCCCGTATATTATTTTTTTATTGAATAGTTCTTTGTGAACTGATTTCAATGATATAAGGTTTTTTACCTTTACCTTCCATAATTTTGGAGAAAAAAAATTAATTTCATTTTTCCATAAGAAACAATGAGCTAGAGAGAGATAAATCATCAAATAAATTATGTCTTGCCTATTTATCACCCCCGATTCATAGTTCAAATTAAAAAAGAATTAGCTGAACTAAAAAATTAAATTAAGAATTAAGAAATTTTTAGCCGATTCATAATTCAACTATCTTTTTTTAACTCATTGTTTCTTATGGAAAAGACGGAATTATTATTTTTTTTTTCTCCAAAACTATTAAACGTGAAGGTATAAAACCTTATATCATTGAAATCAGCTCACAAAGAGCTATTCAATGAAAAAATAATATACGGGGTGTCCCATTTAAAAAAACACAACTTTGGTCAATATTCCAAAATCGGTGGTATCTGGAAAAAAATTGGTCATGCCACTGGATTCTACTTGAAAAACTGCCTTAGAAGGCGTTTTTCGTTTATAGATATCTTGAATAATAAGGAAATTAGAGAGACTTTTAAAATTGGACAAAATTTGAAAAGTATTTCCTAAACGCATCAAGTTAGCTATCATTTGTCTTCGCCATTGTTATTTTCCTAAAAAAAGAGCTCGAGAATGTGCTCTCAGATATTTGATATCTCTGCTGGTTTTTGATATAGCCCATTGAAATATCGAAAATGGGCCACCCTGTACTCTCAGATACGGGATAATGCAATTCCGCCCCCAACGCCATTTTGAAATAGTTTTGACAGGTCGTTGAAATGCCTAGTAATTGGTAAAATCTGTTTTTTTTTAAAGATAAAAGTCAAAATGACATTCTGTTGGCAATACAATGTAAAATTGTCAATGCTTTCAAATTTTTTATGTAGAAAAGGCTTGTGTTGCCAACATAGTTACTAAATTTTTGACTTGGGGAATTACTTTAAAAAAAAAAACAGACTTTAATAATTCAAAATTGTAGTTAGAAGTATAAATTAATAGTATATTGTTGTATTAGGAGTAGAAGCTTCACTTTTTTGTGCTGAAGCAGTAGGTTTGCGAGCCGAACGTAGTGAGGCTTGCAATACTGCTGAAGCACAAAGAAGTGCTTCTACTCCGTATGCAACACGCTATTTTTTCTCCAAACGAATGGGGTGAGCTCGGAGGTAACTGAATGATTGAGCGGCAGTAAAAGTACGAGCAGCACTAATAAGTACTTTTGCTGCCACTCCAACGGCACTAAAAGTACTTTTGCTGCCGCTGGGGTTGCCAAGCAGCATAGAAATTAAATTTCTACCACCTCGACAGGTGCTAACCCGCTGGATTTGCCTAGCAGCATAGAAATCAAATTTCTGACATCTTGACAGGATTTAACAAAGTGACGTTTTTCTGACGTTTGGAGAAAAAAGTAATTTTTTCTTGATTCGAGGGATTTCAACATATATTGGGTCTGACTAACCAGCACGGTTCCGCTATTCAACTAACTGACTAACATTACTGTTATTTATATGTTATAATATAATATGTATAGCGATTTTCAGCTTAAGTAAATTTTGCATTACCGAAGATATCTCGACACCTTTAACAAGACACCCTAGGTCCTTGTTCTATGTTTCGCTTGACTGACCTCAGTATATTTATGTACATATGTTACTACTGTAATCATCTGTACAAAAACTAGCTTTAATGAATTCATTGAATTTTTTTGGCGCTGGCTCTTAAGACTATAATTTTGTTATGATAATATAACAAAAAACGAAACACAGTAGATATGTGATTTTGATCCAATAAGTGGAAAAACAGGTCATTACAATTCAACTTTATCGAATAACTTTTGACTTACCAGTTCCAGAAAAACTTTTGTTGCCAATAGTAACCTTCATCTGGAAAATAATATTGGGTGGATTTCCCGTTTTGCCCACTTCTTCCCAGACGGCATTGGGAAGCATCTGGTGCACCAGCATTAACGGGTTCATTGTTTCGGGATGATCGGGCATCTTCTTGGCTGGTTTTGGGTCTCGTGGAACAGGAGCGGCCGGCCCAGTTAGCAAGTTACCTTGTTGGTCTTGAACCTGTAAACAAGGATCATTTGGTTATTTTTGGAACAAAAACTATTTAATTTTTTTTTGTATTTTCAGTTTAAATCAGAAATTCTTGGCCAACATAATTTTTCTGGTGGAAACCGCGAAAGAATTAAATAGGTTCATCATAACAAGGTGAGTAGCAACTCTGGAGCAGACAAAATCTCATACTGAAACACCAGTAGGTTTTTTGGGGGAAAAAAAAAATGGCGTTCACACCAAACATTTGTAGTGAATTGTAATTTTCCCCAATAGAACTGCCAGCAATTCACTAGAAAGAAATTCCTATCATACAATCTCATTTAACCTATGGGACTTATTTTGGTAAATTTAGCAAAAAATATGTGAAAAGTGATTCTTGTTAAGAAATATTTGGTTTGACTATGATTACTATAGTTTTAGATTTTAGTCCCTATTTTCAATTTGAATTAGAGGACAGTCTTTGACTAGTGATAAAATAAAGTTATTTGTATTTATCAGAGATAGATGATGTATACAAAGTCAATTTGTTCACTTACATTATCTTCACATACCTTGACGGTATTTGGATCCTCTCCCCAAGCTGAAAACAATTTGAACATGGCAAAAGAAGCGATATGCGACCAGGGCATGACTTGCTGACCATCTTCCTCACCAATCTCCATTTTCTCAGCTTCTTCTTCTTCTTTTTTGAGAGTGCCAATTTTCTTGTTCTTCACAAGATGTTTAAGAGCCGTTTCGGCAGCAGAATTTTTGGCTGCGATTTTGTTTTTACCTACAAATAACATTGATTATGCTAATTATGAAATTAATTTGAAAATATCAATAAATGATAAAAATATAATAATTTGTATGCTCTAATACTATGGCCTCAATTACAGAAAAAAACATGATGCCGACTCTCAAGAGCACAATCTAAGCCAAGTTTTCCGTCGGGTTACCAGAACGGTAAAACCAACAGACTTGGCCAGGATTTTTATTTTCCACAGGTGTAACGCTAAGCAAATTATCGAATATATTTTGCTCTGCTGACTCCATGTGGGAATCAGTAATAAAATCAATCAAATTCTATCTTTATTGGCTGCAAACAAATGTAATATTGAGAAATTCGTACCTGTTCCAGCAAATTCGAGTCCATCAAAAGATACAGTCCCTCTGAATTGGTTAACGTCAATTTTCACAGGTACTTCTTCAACATTGTAAACGCATCCCTTGATAAGTTCGTTCAGGATCATGACTGCATTTTTCGGTTGTAGAATTTTACTCAGTTTCAAGTTGCGTCTGCGTGCTTTTTCAGCTCGCGAAATCTTGTTAGCTTGAAGGAAAGAGGTTTGGGTTTTGAATTTCGTTTTTATAAATGTGGAAATTGAAATGTTATTGAAGCGTTGTCAGATAAAAAGTTCACATGGCATGTTAAGAGGAGTATTTTCGTTTGAAAGAAATTGTCTCCTACAAATAAACATGTTTCAAATTTGCGCAGTGATTTGTCATCCTGTAACTTATTCTATATTAATTATCATGCTGAAATTTTTCAGATTGGCGCTATTATTGCCAAAATATTTCTCACTTAATTTAGAAGTTTCAGGAAAAAATTCAATTATAGATATAATAAAATTATGTAGTTGACAACTCACCAGTTCCTTTAGGCCAGAACTTCTTCCTTGGTGTTTCTGCGTTTCCATTGCCACTTTCAGCAATATCCATAAAATCTGATGGGTCTGTTGAAATTAGGGCAGCTGTCGGAGCTGTTTGTTCCTTCTGTACAGCAGGGTTAGCAGGAGTCTGCTGCTGTTGTACGGCAGGCTTAGCAGGCGTCTGTACAGCAGGCTTGGTAGGAGTCTGCACAGCAGGCTTAGCAGGCGTCTGCTGCTGCTGTACAACGGGCTTGGCAGCGGTCGGGGCGCCCCCAGGTCTTACGACGGGGGACTGTGGCTCTGGTTTCACAGGGGAATAACCAGTTTGGACCTGTTGCTAGAAATTACAGAGTTTTTAGAAACAAAAATTAAATATTCACGCAAAACATAAATTCAGGTTTTATTTAAATCAGACATTCTTGGCCGTCACAGAGTTACCTCTCCGGTGGAAACCGCGAAAGAATAATGTAAGTCATCATTAATAAAATTTGAATTTTCATTACAAAAATAACTTTTATCTTTCAACTGGCTGTTATACAGTTTTGTAATATGTATCACCTACTTCAAGGGGCGATTGAAAATCTCCACCATAACCTTTTTGAAAGGTGAGGTGACACATTTTGCCTTTGTTGACGATTATCTGTTAATAATTTGTAAGAATTTTCAAAATTGCAAAAACATTGCCATACTTTTTCAACAGTATGGGTGGAAAAATAGCTTTTCTCCTTTGTAGGTGGAATAAAATAACTATTAGAGTGTAAAGTGAACCTTTTTGCACAAATATGAATTTTGACGCACAAGCCACAGGAAATATACAGGGTTTCGTTTTAAGTGATGACACTATTGCTATCTCGGAAACGGTAAGAGGGAAGAGGTGAGTCAAATTAGAGTAATTAGACAAAAGTGATAGATTATAGTATACATTGAAGTTCACAGGGTTGCCGAATTTTTGTTCGTTGCCGAGATATAAGGGAAAATGTAAAAAATTCCTAAAACTTATTTAATGAATATTTCAAAATCTCAACACTCAAAAAAGTGTTCAATATAAAAGTTTCAAGATTTCTTCTCCTATACAAAATGGCGTAATTGTTATCTTCACACGGCTTCTAGTTGGTTGTGTTGACATTTTCCCCTAAATCTTGGAAACGAACAAAAATTTGGCAACCCTGTGAACCCACCTTCAATGGACACTAAAATCTGCCAATTTTGTGTAATTTAACCATCCTCGTACCACTTACCGCTTCGGAGATAGTAATAGTGGTATCACTTAAAACGGACACCCTCAGATTTGTTATCCTTTTTGACCTGCCTGTCGCTCTCCTCCAAAAGTCAATTTCAGTTGCTTCCAGCATTTTTCCGGTTCTGTTCTTTAGTGGCCAGACCTCTGAACTATGTGCGACTATGCTTGTGACCATGGTTTTGTATAGAGGGTGTCCCACACAAAAGTAACTACATAGGGATTTCGGGAACGATAAGAGATACAATGTTGGTCAAATGGGAAAAAAGTTGCGCTATTCCAAGCCCAATCAGATGCTGCGTCGAAATGCTTTTTAACTATGTATAACAGGCCTATCTTTAGATTGTATAACAGGCCTATATTTAGATGACGGAAAATGTAAATTTATTAAAAAAACAGTTCTTCACTTAGTTGGTTGTGAAACAAATTCCGTAATTGTGTTTATTATCATAGCTTCGTAACTGTAGATATTTTCAATTACGATACATCATCTGATTGGGTTCGGAATAGCGCAACTTTTTTCCCATTTAACCAAAATTGTATCTCTCACTGTTTCCGAAATCCCCTTGTAGTTACTTTTACTTGAGACACCCTTTATTCTAGTTTCGTTGATATTTTGGTCCCACAGTGCCCCATTTAGTAGGGATATTACCTTGCACCCTTGTACATTCCGATCTTTGATTGCTTTGTCGATATTTGTATTCAATTTCAGTTTGTTGTTCACCTCCTATAGTCATTCTGTTTTAGTTAGATTTACTTCCAATCATTGCATCACTATATGTAGAGCGTGTAAACTGTCTTTATTAGTTCTGAGATGATATTGATCTTTTCTAGTGTTTCAGTGGGCTATTGTCATATGCTTTCTTTGGATCTACATACAAAGAGCAGATGAAACTCTTGGTAATACGGTAGTATCTTTTCTATCACCTGGGTCGAACTAAATGAGTGGTCAACAATGGATCTTGCTGCTCTAAAATCGGCTTTTCTGCCTCACTATCTTTATACTCGTTCTCTATTTTGGTTTTATAACTTCTCCATACACTCTGTTCAACGTATTTGTCACTGCAAACCCTCAGTGGTTTTCGCATTTGTTACTGTGTTCTTTCTTATACAGGGTGGGACAAGAAAAACTTCCCACCCCGGTTTTCTTAGCTGTTGGGTGATTAATCAATAATCGCTCGGAAACGTCAATTTTTGTTGTTTGGGTGACACATTTTACTGGTATTTTCGCCCCCCTACCTGTCACCCTAAGCGGGGGTAACAGGTACCCCCAAAATTTCAAATGGAAAGGGGGTCGAGTGATACATCATTTGATAGCTATTTTTATTAGGATTATATCCCCAAAGTTTTAAGTTACTACTATTTACCCTGCCGAAATGGCAGCTTGTCAAAGTTAGGAAATATGCTTTTTCCGAGTATCTGAACTGTGTGGTTTTTATCACATAATAACAAAACTTTTTTAAGGTTACCTATCGATAATAATAAAATAACATCGTTATTTAATTTAAGTATTGTCATTCAACGTCGTTCAGTTTAAAATGGTTCATGTTTATTCACTTGAAAAATCTGCTGTTTTATTATGAGGTAAAAAACACACAACTTTGACAAACCGCCATTTCGACAGGGTGGATAGTAGCAACTTGAAACTTTGGGGATATAATCTTAATAAAAATAGCTATCAAACGACATATCACTCGACCCCCTTTCCATTTGAAATTTTGGGGGTACCTGTCACTCCCGCTCAGGGGTTGACAGGTAAGGGGTGAAAATACCAATAAAATGTGTCCCCCAAAAACAAAAAGTGACGTGTCCGAGCGATTTTGATTATTCACCTAACACTTGAGAAAACTGGGGTGGGAAGTTTTTCGTGCCCCACCCTGTATATTGTTGTTAAATAGCTTATTTTCCTCTCTTCCGGTACTTTATGTTTATGCATGCTTGGAATAGTTTTGTTCAATGTTTGTAGGGTTTATTGGTCCCACACTTTATCAGTTCTCCATATATTTGTCCTGGGCCTGGTGCCCTACCATTTTTCAAGAAGCTACAATGTTCTTTAACTTCTTGCATAACTCCTATTGGTGATCCTGCAGTTTTTATGTTTCGTGTCTGTTCCTTTCCTTTTTGAAACTCTGCCCGTTGTTCTGTCATTGCTGGGGTGTTATTGTATTGATAATAGGTCTGTTTCTGCAGAAATCACAAACCAGTCACAGCGAATTTCATTGGTTAAAAACAGTCAGAAACCGTCAGGGAACTAGTTTCAAACAATGAAATTCACTCTGACTGGTTTGTGATTTCTGCAGAAACAGACCTTATATCCTTGGTTTTTGTTTTCCTCATGTTTTTTAGCATATACAGGGTTATTGGTAATTCGATACATTCCTTTGGAGATGTGATAGGGGATGGGGTAAGGAGTAAATTTAACCGTAACATGCTTTATGCAAAACTCAATAGTTTCTGAGATATTTCTGTTTTTCTTGAACACATAGACCTAATGCTTTAAAAATTGATTAGCACAAAATCAACCGTACATTTCTTCAAGTTTTCTACTGGATTACTTGCCCAACACTATGGTCTTATGTTTGTGATAAAAAATATCTGGAAACATTTCCTTAATAGGAAAGTTTTAAATAAAATCTCTTGAAAAATAATTTTTTTAAATATGGTATAATTTCTTATCGGTTGCAGAGATTTTATCTAAAATTTTCCCATGAGTGATTGGGGGAAATGTTTCTGGTTATTTTTTATTACAAACATAAAACCAAAGTGTTGGGCAAGTAATCCAGTAGAAAACTTAAAAAAATGTACAGCAGATTTCGTGTTAATCAATTTTTAAAGCATTGGGTCTATGTTTTTAAGAAAAACAGAAATATCTCAAAAACTATTGAGTTTTGCATAAAGCATGTTACGGTTGAGTTTACTACTCACCTCATCCCCTATCACATCTCCAAAGGAATGTATCGAATTACCAATAACCCTGTATTTCTTTGTCTTATTTGAACTTAGACACTGTTGGTATTTATTCCTTTTATCTGCTATGTCTTTCTCTACTTCTCGATCCCACCAATAAGGTTTTTGTCTTCTTCCATATATTCCGTATTTGCCTGTGGTTTCATATCCTGCACTGTAAATACTCTCCTTGATATGCCGGTAATGCATTTCAAGGTTCTGGAAGTTAGGACTACTCTGTAATTTTTGGTCTAATCTTTTCATGTACAACCCCTTTGTTCTTCTAGAGATTTAAGGTTGTATTTCGACTCACAATATAAAGCCATACATTTTTAAAAAATATATCACAACTTTACGCCCTAGTGTCTGAAGTAACTTACTCCACAAATTTTATACTTGTTGGTAATAATCATAGACTTAATTCATACTAACGTATGGACGGAGTTTCGGGAAAGAAAACCGATGACAGAATAGTAGTTAGTAAAATTAATAACATTCACATATATAGCGGTTTTGGCGGTCGTCACGGGATTGCATAGACCGCTTTCTTGTCATACTCATTAATTTGTATTGTGCTATGTCACTTTCATTCTGTCACCACATCTGCTGCATGTGCTAAATGGAGATCGACTCCGTCCATACCTTAGTATTAATAGGTCAATGGTATTATTGCATAAAGAAATAAATATTAATTTTATCAAAATCATTGATATTGAAAATTTGTCAAGGAAACAGTGTTTGATCGGACAGTACAGTCAAAGTCTTGAAAAAAACCAGGACCTTCTCTTTAGATCAAGTTTACTTTACCACAGGTTGTAAAACTTAAGTTCAATAATAAAGAACAAAAGTACTGCTCCATATGGTGAGAGAAATAAAAATATAGTTCTTTCGGCAAATGTTTTTTTTTGGAAAGAGGCATGTCATCCTCTTCTAATTTATTGACGTATAATCAGAACTATGAGATGACGCAAGATAAAACATTCACCGGAAGAACTAAACTGCTGGAACTTCGATACGCATAAAGAAATTTTTGGCCTATTTTTGAACTCAAATATCTAAGAAAGTATAAGAGATATTTGATTGCGTTTTGAAGCATTTTGATGGTGAAAAAAAAGTACCTACGTTTTTATACTAATAATTGCACCTCAGAGTAACTAGAGATAGTACATGTCGTAACACGTAACATTTACTGCGATTTATAGGGGGCACAGTTTTCTTTGTTAATTGATATGGCACCAACCTTTCTCTGGTTTATTGTATAATAATTCTGAGAGCAAAATATGATTATATTATGTTCACTAGGTAGAAAAGCTATTCTGTTCTCGAGACGCAGAGATATTTGGTGAATTATTAGGACATACCATGGCATAAGGGGGCTACTTAGACAAGGGTGGTAAAAAGTTCCGAAATGGCTGAATCTCTTCAAACCCACTTATGCTGCTTTTCCAAATTTCGTTATCTGGATGCTTCTGGGCAAACGAAATTGGACAATGATGTAGGGCAAAGCTGGTAGATCTGGCAGCAGTGCCGATATCAGTGAATCATTCAATTTTGTATGTCCGGAAACTTCCAGACAACAAAATTGGAGAATACAGGTTTTCAACCATTCCGGTACTTTTTACCACCCCTGTATAAATAACCCCCTAATGACATGGTACGTGCTAATAATTCACCAAATATCTCGGCGTCTCAAGAACAGAATAGCTTTTTCACCTAGGAAACATAATATAAACATATTTTGCACTCAGAATGGTTATACAATAGGCTCTCGATTTTTCACGAGGACAAGCAAGCATAATCTGATCATGCTGGGTTATGTGATGTCAATTATGTCATACTCCCCTAACTCCCTCTCCATATAATTCTGGGCCTGCAAGTGACGTCACTATTAGCAGCCTATAGTGATGACGTCACCCGCAGGCCTCGATGGAATGCTTGCGATTCAGGCTGTACAGGGTGCTGCAATTTGGAGTGTTTCAACAGGAAAAACATACTTGCAGACCAAATAGAAGAAAATTGACTTAGACGTCATGGGATCGATTTTTGAGAAACGTCAATAGTCAAAAACCGTATCACGATATCTTCAATGGTACCATTGATTCAGGGCGATTTTCGATTTTCCCCTATTATGAAAAATGGCTTATAAGTTTTTTATCTATCAATTTTTTTTGTTTCTGTAAAAACATTATGGAGACACTTTATAGGCACAATCCAGTGGCGGATTCAGTTTTTTTCTATATCGCTCCGATTTTGAGATATCGACCAAATTCCGATATTTTCAAATGAAACACCCTATATATTAATAGCTCATTGGATAGCTCTGTTTTTGCTGATTTCAATGATATAAAGTTCGATAGGTTTATCTCTGACAGTTTACGAGAAAAAAAATTATATCTGTTTTTGTCGTAAGGACCAATGTGTTAGAAAAGGATTTTATATGTGTAAGGAGAATGAGGAAGAACTCTGTCTAACACATTGTTTCTTATGACCGAAACAGATATAATTTTTTTCTCGAAAACTGTCAGAGATAAACCTATCGAACTTTATATCATTGAAATCAGCAAAAACAGAGCTATCCAATGAGCTATTAATGTATAGGGTGCTTCATTTGAAAATATCGGAATTTGGTCGATATCTCGGAATCGAAGCGATATAGAAAAAAACCGAGTCCGTCACTGGATTGTGGTCAAAAAAGTGTCTCCATAATGTTTTTACAGAAATAAAAAAAATTGATAAATAAAAAACTTATAGCCATTTTTCATAATAGGGGAAAATCGAAAATCGCCCTGTGTTAATGGTACCATTGAAGATATCGCGATACGGTTTTTGACAATCGACGTTTCTCGAAAATCGCCCTGTGTTAATGGTACCATTGAAGATATCGCGATACGGTTTTTGACAATCGACGTTTCTCGAAAATCGATCCTATGATATTTAAGTCAATTTTCCTCTATCTGGTCGGGTGTGTTTTTCCTGTTAAAACACTCCAAATTGCAGCACCCTGTACTAGTGAGATAACTTTTTCGTCGATTTTAAATGTGGAAAAGGCGATTTCCGGTCTGTTCTCACAGAAGAAATTAAGAGTTTTTGATCCTTGAGTATCCCAGAATTTGATGGTGGGGGAGTTAGAGAAGCACGACACACTTGACACATCGCATAATCCAGCATAATCGATTACGATTGATTATCCTCCCGAAAAATTGCCTAATAAAGCAGAGAAAGGTTGGTGCAATATCAATTATTAACAAAGACGACTGTGCCCCCTATAAATCGCAGTACATGTTACATGTTAAGACGCGTACTATCTCTAGTTACTCTGAGGCGCAATTATCTTAACGGACCACCGAATAATTAGTATTAAAAACTTATTTTGAAGCACGAAAAAAGACGAAAACGTTGAACCAACAATACTGAAGAAAATTGTTTCGAGTAACTGGGTGAAAGTCGTTTTTCGGTTAAACTGAAATGTCTGCAAAACTACGAGATTTATTCAAAAACCCTTCAAGTTGTTTTTTTTATTGAACTACTTATTCTTCTTAAACCCAGAAAAAAAGCTGGAGTATGTTTGAAAAGAAATAGCGACGCCCTGAAATTCTTTAAACTTTGCACTGTTTTATTGTCCACCCTGTATGTTGTAGATAACGTTTCTGTTCATCAACACGATACCATATACCTTGAACACCAAACAATGCGCCCCAATATGCCTCAAACCGCAATCAAATATCTCATACTTTCTGAGATATTTGACTTCAAAAATAGGCAAAAAATTTCTTTATGCGAATCGAAGTTCCAGCAGTTGATATGTATGTATAATTTGTGTACAGGGTGGTCATTTTGACTTAATAACAGTTTAAAATGTTATCAAGTTAAAATAACCACTACTACTACTAATGAAAGTTGAAGTCAATAAAATCTACTCTAAATAATTAACAGAAACTAATCATAGTCAGGAGATAGTTTTGCGACTATACCTAAAACATTGAATCTGTAAGTGGAAGGTGTAGCAACCTGAGAAGAAAATGAAATATATATGACCAATTTAGTAAAACTTAATGTATAGGAGGGATAAGAAATCTGATAAACAATTCTCCCAAATATGGTATCTTTACAAGTAATATTAAAACAGCACAAGTAAAACCAGAGATAAAACCTCCTAAGAAATACCTACATACTCATAGATTTAAGCTTATTGCCTCGATTTTCAAAATTATTTGAAAGTGTCGGGTTTGATTTGCGATTTTTTTTTTTTTTTAAATGTTGCTTTTGGGAAATTAAGCCCAAAGTTTTTGTGTGTCTGTTTTTTTTTTGTGAATCCCAGATTATTGTAGGTGGTCCTAGCTTAGGGGCGAATGAACTGTAGAGGGTGATTCATTAAGAATGGCACTCGGCCATACCTCAGAAACTATCCATCATAGTGTTGACGAAAAAAAATTATCCTATAAATGTGGCCAAGAGAAAATGCTGGAAATATATTTCAGTTTTCTAAAATACCCGCAGGAGGCGTAACCCAACTGTCAAAGTACAAAAAGAGTTTTATTTTTTAAATTTTTAATGGAAACATATCTTGAAAATGGTAGCAATGGATTTTTGATGAACTTTCACACAATTTCGGTTTATGACTTTTTACCGATACTTATCGGATAGTATAGTTATGAGCTGTCAAATATTGAAACTCAAGAGGGCGGATAACTTCAAAACGACTCTTGGCCGATTTTAGGTTCATTGGACAGACAACTGTTTTTAAATATCCACCCATATTGTCAGTTCTACTAACCAGAATCTGAATTTTTCATAACAAAATCAAAGAGCAGACTTTTGTCTTTCCAACGACCAAATTTTTTGAGTTGTTTTGAAGTTATCCACTTTCTTGAGTTGCAATATTTGACAGCTCATAACTATCTTATCCGATAAGTGATGGTAAAAAATCATGGACCAAAATTGTGTGAAATTTCATCAAAAATCCATTATACCATTTTCAAGATACGTTTCAATTTGAAATTTTAAAAATAAAATCATTTTTGTACTTTGACAGTTGGGTTACACCCCCTTACGGTCATTTTAGAAAGCTTGAAATATATTTCCAGCATTTTCTCTTGGCTAGATTTATATTTTCTTCTCGTCAAGACTCTGATCAATAGTTTTTGAGATATGACTGAGTGCCATTCTTAATGAATCACCCTGTACCTACAAAAAATTATTGCAGGTATATATTTCTGGTTTCAGTCAAAATTTAATCAATAATTGAGAATATTATCTATTATTAATAATTATTACCTGATTCCTGGCATTTCCAGGTTGTTGTTGCTGTCCGGCTCTTTGATTTTGCTGTCCTTGAGGTCTATACTGTGGTTGAGAACCAGCCAGCTATACGAGCAGGGTAAATTTTTCTTATTAAAATTTTAAACCCTCGGTTCGCAGCACCCATATAGGTGCATCTTTAACTGAGATAGGTTCATGCAATGAACTTAACATACAGTTAAAGATATCAGTTCCATTTTCATATCTTGACCCTGATTTGTTTTACCGCTTAAAAATACTGGTAGAGTCGAGGGAAAACAAACTTAATTAAAACATTTTATATGTTGCAGTTTGATTTCTCTAAACTAAATCAGTATTAGACATGCAAGCTGTTTCTCAGATGAGGCCTTTGGAAGCCAAATCAAAAGAAAACAACGAAAAAATAATAACAAAAAATGCAGTCAAGATACACAATGTTATTCTAACAGAAGAGATCATAATTCTACTAGAAAGGAATTTAATTTTTTTGCCATGAATAAAATTCAAAAAAAATTACTTTCGTAGAATTACGATATTCTTATGTTGAACACAATAAAAATAGGTGCCTATATATGTGCAACAACCACAGCTCGGTATGGCTCCATAGCACCTAAATATTAAAAAGAGTTGTTAATAATTTTGATTTTTTTTTGCCAATTGATTGGTGATTTGTATTTGCGTTTTTTCTTAATCAATATCAATGAAACTTATCTCATTAGACTGGATTAGACTAGGGACATTGTGTTCCTGAATGATAATTATTATTGATTGAAAAGGCAATGAAACAAAAAAAAAAAGGGCATTCGTTTGCCAAAGGAGTGCCCATAAGGTCATAATATACCAATGTGATAAAAACTGAAAATTGGGAAAAATAAACCACCTTGATGTGACCAAATTCAGGTAAAGCAATCCTAGTGTTAAATTGCAATATTTTAAGATGAGGCCACTGTCCAGGATAAACCAATTCCTCAATTTTTAATTTCAATGGATGTCAATTAACCCAACTCCTTAATTCTTAATGCTTTATTCCTTATGCTAAATTCATTCATCATTTTTTCAATTCCCATCTTATAACACCCAATTTAATTTGAAATTTTTGTCCTTGATAATACAAATAAAGGGTCACAAAGTAAAACTATAGGCATGGCCATAGTACAGGGTGTCCGAATTTGGATGGTTTTAATAGGAAACGTCAATTTCTGAGCGAGATACAAAAAATGAATCCCCCACTCCGAGGCTCAGATTTCTTGAAATTTTGATTGATGCAAACTGCATTTTGATATCTTCAACCGTTTAGCCGCTAGAGGGCGATTCTCGATTTTGATCCAGAATGTGAAACCATCATAACTTTTTTGTTTATGAACATTATTGATTTCCGTAAAAACTTTCTGGAAGCACTTTTTCAAGCAGAATTCAGTGACGTTCTCAGTTTTTTTCTACTTGGTCCCAACTCCGAGATATTGACCAAAGTCTGTTTTTTTTCAATAGGACACCCTATATATTAATAGCTCATTAGAAAGCTATGCTTTTTCTGATTTCAATGATATAAAGTTCGATACGTTTATCTCTAACAGTTTTCGAGAAAAAAAATTATTTCGGTTTTTGTCATAAGAAGCAATGTGTAAGAAAAGGACTTTATATCTGTAAGGAAACTGAGAAAGGTCTCTTTCCAACACATTGTTTCTTATGACAAAAACCGAAATATTTTTTTTTCTCGAAAACTGTTAGAGATAAACCTATGGAACTTTATATCATTGAAATCAGAAAAAGCAGAGCTTTCTAATGAGTTATTAATATATAGGGTATCCTATTGAAAAAAAACAGACTTTGGTCAATATCTCGGAGTTGGGACCAACTAGAAAAAAACTGAAAAAGTCACTGCTTGAAAAAGTGCTTCTAGATAGTTTTTACGGAAATCAATAATTTTCATAAACAAAAAAGTTATGATGGTTTCACATTATTGCTCAAAATCGAGAATCGCCGTCTAGCGGCTAAATGGTTGGAAATATGAAAATGCGGTTTGCACCAATCAAAATTTCAAGAAATTTGAGCCTCGGAGTGGGGGGTTCATTTTTTTGTATCTTGCTTAGAAATTGATGTTTCCTATTAAAACCATCCAAATTCGGACACCCTGTACAGGGTGCTGCAATTTGGAGTGTTTTAACAAGAAAAACATACTTCCAGACCAGATAGAGGAAAATTGACTTAGGTGTCATGGGATTAATTTTCGAGAAACGTCGATTGCCAAAAACCGTATCACGATATCTTCGGTACCACTGATACAGGGCGATTTTCGATTTTCCCCTATTATGAAAAATAGCTATAGTTTTTTATTTATCAATTTTTTTTATTTCTGTAAAAACATTATGGAGACACTTTTTTGAGCACAATCCAGTGGCGGACTCGGCTTTTTTCTATATCGCTCCGATTTCGAGATATCGACCAAAGTCCGAAATTTTCAAATGAAATACCCTATATATTAATAGATCATTGGATAGCTTTGTTTTTGCTGATTTCAATGATATAAAGTTCGTTAAGTTTATCTCTAACAGTTTTCAAGAAAAAAAATTATATCTGTTTTTGTCATAAGAAACAATGTGTTAGAAAGAGACCTTCCTCATTTTCCTTACACATATAAAATCCTTTTCTAACACATTGATCCTTGCTATCCAATGAGCTTTTAATATATAGGGTATTTCATTTGAAAATATCGGACTTTGGTCGATATCTCGAAATCCGAGCGATATAGAAAAAAACTGAGGCCGCCACTGGATTGTGCTCAAAAAAGTGTCTCCATAATGTTTTTACAGAAATAAAAAAAATTGATAAATGAAAAACTTATAGCTATTTTTCATAATAGGGGAAAATCGAAAATCGCCCTGTATCGATGGTACCATTGAAGATATCGTGATACGGTTTTTGGCAATCAACGTTTCTCGAAAATTTATCCCATGACACCTAAGTCAATTTTCCTCTATCTGGTCTGGAAGTATGTTTTTCTTGTTAAAACACTCCAAATTGCAGCACCCGTACAGCAAGAGTCGATATTCCCTTCATGAAAAAATTCTCATACTGAACATCCATGATTCTCTTGTATACCAGCAGAGTAGTCTGTGTGTCAAATCCGCATCATAATTATTAGGACCTGTGACCTGTGCCGTGCCAATATGGTAAGTGTTGGACAAGCGACTATTAATAGGGCCAGTTTCTCAATAGCAAGTCACTCCCGGGTTAAGCATAACTCCAGGGAAAACACTGCAACTGGACACGTTTACCCTGGAGTTAAAACCAACCCGGAGGTAACTCACTATTGAGAAACCGACCCCTAGATTCTTGCAAGAAAGAAAATGTAAGAACCTCAATGGACCCAAGCTAGTTCCAGGGAAGAAAACTTCTGAAATTGATGACGATGTTAGAAATGGGAGAATGAGAAAAAGATCATGAAAACTAGACCATGGAAAATTCTTCATGAACTTTCGTTGGGAAAAGCAGAATTAGAAAATCTTTTCTCGATTTTGATGTGAGAATGTCATTATTTCCACACGCAAAATTGATGAAGAATGAAGCTCATTCTTCAACGATTTTTAGTGACATTTAGTTTTCGAAGTATACCTATTGGTACCTTCAAAATTGTCAAACCTTCTAAAATGATAGAATCCACCTGTCAGTTGGTTGGTAAGTAAGTGTCACCAACTGACCTATTTTGAAAATAAAAAATCCCCAACTAACAGCGTTCACAAAAAAAATTTTAAAAATGAAAAATAAAATCCAAAATCGAGAAAATAGTATAAAACACACGTTGCAGAAGGCTATTCTCGCACTCATTCGTTCGTCCACTCGCTCCTTCGTCGCTCGTGTCCAAATTTCTAATTCGTGCGAGAATATGTGGCCTTCTGCAACTTGTATTTTAATATACTATTCTCGATTTTGATGTGAGAATGTCATTATTCCCGCACGCAGAATCATTGAAGAATGAAGCTCATTCTTCAACGATTTTTAGTGACATTTAGTTTTCAAAGTATACCCATTGGTACCTTCAAAATTGTCAAACCTTTTATAAAATAATGAAATCTATCTGTCAGTTGGTTGGTAAGTAAGTGTCACCAACTGACATATTTTGCAACAAAAAAAAAGTCCAACTAACAGCGATCACAAATTTTTGTTAAAGAATGAAAAATAAAATCCAAATTGGTTGAGGTTTAGTTTGGGATTGGATCGAAATAAAATAACAGAAGTATGTTATTTGTTATTTCAGATTGTCGACGTTTCGCAATATATTATTGCATCTTCAGGACACTACAAAATGGTAAGACAATGTTATTGTGTAGAGTCCTAACAACTCCAGTTATGTTTATAGTATTGGGTACTTACATTTGAGATTGACTTTCTATGTCATAACAAGAACAATATACGAAGTTTTTAGGTAGGTACAGATTCATAAGAAGCGTTACATTCACATACATGGTACAGTTTAAAACTTATCAAAAAATATCACAAAAACGTTATAAAAATAATTACACATTAAAACTTAAAAATTAAATGATTTTAAAATAAAATATATAAGACAGACACAGCCAGCTGTTACTATTACAATAATAAATTAAATAGTGTTATCGTTTGTGGGAGCAAACAAAGAAAAACCAAGTAGGGAATGGCATCCGAATCAAAAAACACTAATATGAAAGCTTTTTTGTGATGATCATTTTGTTGTTGATAAAATGTTAAAATAGGCGTTACTTTGCAATAATATATTGCGAAACGTCGACAATCTGAAATAACAGACTTCTGTTGTTTTATTTCGATCCAATCCCAAACAAAACCTCAACCAATTACAATTAAGGGATCGACAACAAACTAACCAAGTAAAAATCCAAAATCGAGAAAATAGTATAAAACTCACGTTGCAGAAGGCTATTCCCGCACTCATTCGTTCGTCCACTCGCTCCTTCGTCGCTCGTGTCCAAATTTCGAATTCGTGCGGGAATATGTGGCCTTCTGCAACTTGTATTTTAATATACTATTCTTATTGATAGGTAGGTCAGTCATTATTTCCTGAAGAAGAAATTAGGTACTTGCAGTCAATCCAA